ACTGAGAGGTAAGCTAAAGAATCAAGCAAATGAAAATCAAAATCACCTCCTTCTACCCAGGAAAGCTGTGTTAGAGACTCCAGCTTTCATCTGCAGACAGGTATTGGATTAGACACTTAGCCATCAGTCACAGGGAAGGCAGGACAACTGCAGAACTCCTCAAGAGGGCTTGTTCCCTAGAAACATGGAGTGACAAGGATCACAGGCTATGTGTTTTCAGAACTCAGGAGGACTTGCTGAGAAATAGAGAAAGGGGGAGGACTGAGCTGTGCATATTCCAAAGAGTAAGGAGTTAGAAGAAAGGCCAGGAATATTATGCTAGTAAAACTCCCTCCTTGTGAAAAAAACAGTACATTAATAAAATGTACTGTTTGAGTAGCAGTCACATTTGATGAGACTGCACATATGGTGGCCTGGTTCTTTGCTAGACCTTTGACTCCAAATGTCATTGAGGACTGTGTCTTACCTGTTCAGTATCTGTCACAGACAGGCACTTAACACACACTCGCATCAGAATAATCAGTTAGCCAATGGATAATATATTTGTCTGTTCATCCCAAAGGAAATCTGCTATTGCTAATGTTGGGACAAGAAAGCTACTTGAACAGGACAATTTATAGCATTTTCATGCCTAGGGCCCTTTGGGTAGATGGGTTGGGACAATCTAAGACCATTAGATGCTCGTAGAAAAGAAAAGAATATAGCTGAATCTCATTTTAAGGGACCAGTGCTAAGACTCAGATTGGTCATGTTTTTTCCTTTGACTGAGGCAGAAGGCAAAGAGGAAGAAGTAGAGAGAAGAGGAAGAAGTAGGGGTGGAGAATACAGGAGAAAAGAAACAATGATCAAAAGGCATAGAATATATGGGGAACAGAGACTTAGTGGATACTCAACTTAATGTTTGATTTGTAAATAACCCAAATAATTTAGAAATTGTTATGGGATTTTGTTTCTACCTGACACATGGCAAAAAGGTGTCATATGTGTGTGTGTGTGTGTGTGTGTGTGTGTGTGTGTGTTATAAGCCCCAAATTATATGTCCTCTATGGAACATCTTTAAAAGTAGCTGGTTGAAAGATTGAGAAGGAATGACTAAGAACACATGACAGCAAAGATATGGAAAAACTGGAACCCTCATAATTGTTGATGGAAATCTAAAATGAACAGCTCCTTTGGAGCAGTCTGACAGCAACTCAAAAGTTAAACAGAGCCTTCCCTTAGAACCCAGCAATTCCGCTCCTAGGTTTATACCCACAAGAACTAAAAACAAATTTCTAGACAAAAACTTGTAATTGATTGTTTATAGCAACATTATTCAAAATAGACAAATACTGGCAAAATCCCAAATTACTGGATTACATGATGAATGGGTTAAAACATGTAGTATATCCACAAATAAAATGCTATTTGGTCATTAAAAAGAGATGACGTACAGGTACATTATACAATGAATGAACTTTGAAAATATGATGCTAAATGAAAGAAGCCAGGCACAAAGGACCATACGCTATATGATTCCATTTATATGAACTGTTCAAAGTGGGCAAATTCTCAGAGACAGAAAGCAGATTAGTAGCTCACAGAGGATGGTGGCGCTGGAGATGACTGAGTGATGGCTATGAGGGTTGTTTTTCAGAGTGATGAAAATGTGCTAAAACTGATTTTGCTGATACACTAGTAGCACTGGGTCGCACACATTAAGCAGGTGAATTACATGGTGCATGAATCACGTCTCACATAAAGCTGTTAGTCTAAAGATAATCAGGATATGGGCCTAGGACCTCCAGAAACCAGCACATCCTGAGACTGGGGTAACTCTCATTCCTCTGCCTCTGGCAGGGAGCCAGGTAGAGAGCAAGACACACCTCACCAGTCACCTTCTCTTAAAGATTACTATGGATGACCTGCTGTCCAGGACTGCATTATTTATGAGATGATAAGGTGGCAGCAAGCAATTCTAAAGGAAACTCACTTGGTATCACTTTCTTAAGATGTCATACGAGTGACTCATCAAACAGGGCAAGGGAAACTAGCCTACAATATGCAGCTCTGAAGAGATGCTTTCCAACAGATGCAGAGGACAGTGGCAGGCAAGTCAGGACCCACAATGGCTCACTCACAATGAGCAGATGAACTTCTAAGACAAGAAAAACCTGCAGTATTTGCTTGCTAACAGATGCAAATCATCTCCCATCCCTCCTGCTAGCACTGGGATGTGCATGTACTGATCCCTTAGGTGCTGGCCCTTTATAAAAAGTTAACTTCTTTAATCTTTACATCAACTGCATCAGAGCGATGGCATAATTCTCATTTTATATGCACGGACATGAGCTCAAATTCAAACAGAACCTACCTTGAGGGAAACTTCCCTAGTTTGCCAAGCTAGCAGTTGGAACCACTATCTGCCTCCAGAGCCCAGGCACTCCCGGCCACCACTCCCTCTCTTGTAGGAGGGCACAGGCCGAATTGTGTTGCAACTGCTCAGGAGAACTCAGAGCAGAAGCTTCCAGTGGCTTTGAGCCCATCTCTCTTGCCCTAGGCCTCCTGTAGCAATTGGAAGGATTTGTGGTCTAAGTCCCTGAAGTCAAAAGTAGACAAAAATCCATCGTCACTCACCAGGACATATACAAACCTCAAGATAATTTGTTTTCCAATGGTTTTGGCTTAAAGTTCTGGTTTGGCATTGGTTTTTTAACAACTAACAGCTGTAGGCAATTTTCACACAGAATAGAGACATCAAGAATGCAGAGAGTGGAATTTTCTCCCTTCTGAATACAGAACAACGAGCTGTCTTCAAGATGCACAAGGAACTGCCACCACACAGGCTCCTACCTTGGTCTCATTTCAGGCAGCTGGCAAAATATGACTGTAAGGACCATGGATTTAGGACATTTTGGGGGTACTAACTCTGTCCAATGGCACCAGTAGGATCAGAGAGAGGTATTCAACTATCAGCGACACCTATTCTCCTTAGGCTGACTTTCAGTTTCAAAGGACCTCAAGGGGGAAATAAAATCAAGACTACAAATGCACCATTACTGCCCTTCCTGACAGCCATTAAGACAGATGACTCATTGTCCCTCCCTGGGAGAGGACTATGTGTCCTCCACCTACCTTGATGACCTCAGGGTTAGCCACGTAACTTGTGGTGCCAATCCCTACAAAAAAATGACACCTCCTTAAGCTGTAATGTCAAATGTGGCCATGTGACCTGCACTGACAATGAAATATGTGGGCACACTGACATGTTATAAGCATAAGCTTAGTGTATGCTAGTCTGCCCTTCCTCATGGACAGAGATTGGTGAGGAACATAGTAACTGCTGGCCCAAAGCGGACATACAGCACAAGCACAAGATGCGCCTTTGCTGTTGGAACCCCTGAGCTTTTGCTGCCACAGCATAAGCTAGCTTGAGAAGACAAAGTCAGCCACTGACATGATCAGCTACCCTTCTCTGGCCTTCAACTTCCCTGACAGCTTGCTTCCTCCAGAAAGTCCTCCCTGATCACATTCCACATCACTTTGCCCTACAGCCCACAACACGCATACACACAATCTCTGCAGAGGTGTTTCTGCTTACTCCTTTGGAGGCATTAGTCCTTCTTCATGATTGATTCCTTTCTGTGACTAAAACTGTCAGATCTAGCTTTCCACTCTGAACCTCCTGGTTAATACAGAATAGAGTTCTGTCTCATGGAGTGGAGAAAGGAGAGAAGACAGACTCCTTAAACACTGAAAATATCCAACATCACAAAGCATAAACATGCAGCCACAAGTCATCTCTTCTTTTTCCCAACCAATTCTGGTTGAAAATAAGTCCATTATTCCACTTGAGAGACTAGAACACAAACATCAGCTTCACAGACTCTCTCAGATTGCCTCATTTTTTGATTTATAAGTGAGTTTTTGTCTATCGGACTTGGAATGACATGGTCCATCCTGATAGCACTCCTGGAGGACAGTGACACAGTCTACTATCTTGACCTAAGAGTCATGCAAGATGATAATATTCTCTAGTACCTGTTGAACAAACTAAGTGGTCCAATTAGAACTAACTCATTACAAAACGTCAGCAGTAACCAAGGGAGGACACAGCACTCTGTAATGTTTATTGAGCATATTTAAGAGTCATGGGCATTGGGCCACTCCTTCTGTGAATTGTTCTCATTTAAATATTACCTCAAAACTAGGAGAGTATATTTTCTTCTCTACTTCCCAGAAAATAGGCTCAGAAAAATAACATGTCTTTTCTGTACTTGCACAGATAAAGTTAGAGAAGTAATTTAAACCAAGGTGTTCCTAATCCTGTGCTAGCACCCTTTAAACTATGCCACAACATCCTCTGAAATAAGAAACACCACTTTAAACAATGCCTGTAAAGCAAAGTTGAGTTCATTTGCATCTCTTGATGAATGGGTCCTACACTAAATATATTGCCTCTTTAGAGAATAGTACGCTCAAAAACATGATAGTATCTATAAAAACTTTCCCACAACTGTTATTATTCCAATCCTATCATTAGGCTAAATAATGATACTGTACTTAAGTAATAATGTCTTCCACCAAAAGATCAAGGGCTAGTGAGAAGTATGACTAATTTTTTAGAACACATTAATATTATACATCGGGGAATCCTAGAACGTGTGAAGCCAATGAAAGAATTACTTATGCACACAAGTATAGACTCAGAGTGGGATGAGGAAAAATTAGGAAGGGCATGTAGGACGTAGTACTGGCCACGTATCTGAAGACCTTAAGGTTTAAATCCACCCACCTCATGTACCAGTCAAGCACTTGCATGTAGTCATGCCACCCTCTTCCATCTGTGCCTTCTCAGACACAGTGCAGACAGACAGTGAGGGTACAGACATAAAGGGTAGATGAGGGCCACTTCACTGAAAGGGAAAAAAATCCATGGCAAACCAAACCAACCCACCCACATCCACTCCTCTTGTCCTCCTGGCTCTCCACTGATGCCAGCATAGAAATGTGGGACTCACCACAAGTTCACTGAACATGACGTCCAGCTCCTCCACAGGGGGCATGGGCAATGCTGGCTCCATGGTCTGAAGAGCAAAGTTGCTATCATTTCGAAGTCGATACGTGATTTCTGGATGGTCATTATTTCGGAAACAGCAAAAGATGAATGAAATCCCCCGTCCACCTCTCTTCCTTGGGGCCATGGCTGAACTCTGTACTACTTCTTGATATGACTAAATTCTGTGAAAAGAGAACATAACATGGTTAGGAGTGCAATAGATAGTGAGGAATCAGTGGCTCACACCTATATTCCTAGCTAAATGGGAGGCAGAGATCAGGAGGATCTTGGTTCAAGGCCAGCCCAGGCAAATAGTTTATAAGACCCTAACTTGAAAATACCCAACACAAAAAAATGGCAGGAAGAGTGGCTCCAATGGTAGAGTGCCTGCCTAGCAAGCATGAGGCCCTGAGTTCAAACTTCAGAACTGCCAAAAAGGAAAAAAAAAAAAAATGAGTGCAAGAGATGAAAGAAGTTTTTGAAAATTCTAGAAAGATCCCCTATGCTGGTGGCAATGTGTGGAACCAGTGGAAAAAAGAGGACAGCCTGGAGTGGCTTGCAGTCCAGCTAGGCAGAAAGCCCATATGTTATTCACTTGTCAAATGTTTTCTATGACCAACTGCTGAGCACACAGTGCAATGCTAGCCACTCCCTTCCCACCCCAACATGTACTCTGACCACATTGAGCTATAAGCCATTCTTTGTACGTCACATTCCTTTTCCTGCCAAATTATTTTGTTCTTGATACACTTCCTACTAGAAGACTGTTTCATCCTTGCACCCTTGGAGATCTCATTCATCCTTTAAAGTCTAATTTCAATTTATCCTTCACCTTCCTTAATAATACTATGCATATACTAAGGAAGGTATCTCCATTCTAGCACAAGTCCCATTCTGAGTTCTTAAGCATATGTCTTCCTGTTAGACTGGGACAACTCAAAGTGAAGGAAAGGGAAAAGGGAAAGTACTTTGTGCTCCTAATGCCTTGCTCAGTGCAAGGAAAAGAGGATGTTTATCATGCTAAGGAGTTTCCATTCATGACAAAACAAGAGGGATGTAACATGAGCTGAAGGGTCAAGATTTTCAAACAGAAAAGATGAAATGAGTTCAACAGGGAAATAGTTAAATAAATTAAAGTATATTCACACAATAAAATGTTATGCACTCATCAAAAAGAACAAGGCATCCTCAAATGTGTAGACAAGGTAAAATGTTAAAGATGCTTGCTATATAGTGCATATACTCTCTACTATAGGATTACATGCTTTAAAGAATTATTATATATTTATGAATATACAGAAGATAGTAGTAGCCTCAAAAATAAAAATAGGTTGGGGAACTATTCTTTTCACGTTAAACCCATTGAATTTTCATAACAAGAATATGTTTTTAATGAATTTAGAAGTATTTTTGTTTGTTAAGGTACAATTATATTGTGATGGACTTGGAAAATTTTCCAAGTGATACTGGCAAGTAAAAAAGCAAGCCAAAGAAGAATAATGTCCAAAGATGATGCCAGTGAGTATTTTTAAAACAATCTGGAAAAAACCCTAATCATTTACATACAAATGCATACCAAAAGATTTGGAAAGATAGCAAATTCCTAACTCTAAGAGAGGAATAGGATTGAGAAGAGGTAAGAAAGGGAATACTTTTCATGATATTGTTTTAATAGTGGGCACATATTTATGCATAATTTTTTAAGGTTTTAAATTTTTAAAAGAGACGAGGTTAAAATAAAATTTAAAAAATAAAAGGTAGGAGGAGAATTGGCCCTTGGAGAGAGCAGAGGAAGAGAAATACACCCAGGGCAGGGGAACTGGCTGAACAAAGGCAGAAAGCTCAGGGAGGAGCACCAAGGAGTCAGATTCAATGTGGGAGGGGCTGATGAGCCAGGAATTATTGCTCTCAGTTTTAGAGCTATGGATGGGTAGCAATCTTGCTGGAGAGGCTAATGAATGCAGAGCACCTCCCAGGCTGCACTCTGATAGCCTAACCAGTTAATGCTACCATGCTGACAATGACTAACTAACCACAGTATGTCCTCACAAACAGGGTTAACACTAGGGTAGGGCACTTTCTGGAAAACAAGAGCCAAGGGGGAGGCAAAGACCCACATATGTCCTTGAATTGATTTCAGGGGCTGCTACATAAAAACAGGATCAGAGTTGTGCCAACCCAAGATGGAATTTAAGCCCAATAGGTAGAAGCTACGGAGACAAAGTAAGACCTCTGCCTGTGATGGGGATAGGGAGAAGCAAGGAATCCCTGATTCTGTCATCTTCAGACCAGAGACACCAGTTAGAAAGGCCCAAGGCATAAGGGACCCTAAACACCTGTCACTCAGTAGATGCTGATGGGAGACTGGGGCAAGTGAGAGATTTTCAGTTGGTACTGACTTGTGCTTCTTACTTTAGCTTCAATTCCAGAAGATCTGCTTTTATCAACTTTGGGTATTCAAAAATTAGGTATCAATCTTATTTTATAAAAACCTCCTGTGGCTACTCACTGCAATTATAAGAGTATGCAAAAGCCATCACAAAGTGCAGGGTGCTAATCCTTAGAGATTATAGTTAACATCACCATGTTGACAACTTCTGACAAACCACAGTGTGTCCTTATAAACAGGGCTGGCACCAAGGCAGGCACTTCCTGGAAGACAAGGAAAGGTCCCAGGGCCTCCAGAGCTCCACAATTTGGCCCCTGCCTGCTTTTCCACCTCACCACACAGCACTCTTCATATGAGTCCCTACACTTCTCCTGCACTGGCCAAGCTGGATCCTGCCTCAGGGCCTTTGTACTAGGTGTCTGTGACTGGCCTGTTCTGGCCCACATCTGTGCATGTCTCTTTTGTCCTCATCTTTAAGGCCTCAGCACTTTCTTAGGCCATCCCCAGCCAGTCATCTTAGGGACAATCAATTTTAAAAGGGCTCCACTTCAAAAAGTTTTAAAACTATGCGCATAAAGATGAAAGTCAAGGGGGTCTTAAGTTTTACCAGAAGAAAGACTAGAAGCAAGTGTGTCAACATTTAACAGTAGTTTACGCTGGAGAGTTTTTGTTAACTTTTAAAATTAAAACTCAACAACATATGGCATCTTTCTAAGCCCAAATCTAAAATCTAAATAATCACCAAATCACCAATTTCTTGATTTGGTAATTAACGTTATAGGTAAAAATTCTCATAAGCAACTATGATTCACAAACACTTCCAGAATCAAGTCCTCTGCTCTCTTAAAGTGGGGGTGGGGGCAACTGGAAGTCTGGGATGGGAAGGGAGAACAAGGCCTCCATCATGGAGCTTTGCATCGTTGGCTCTGAAATAGACTAAGCAGAGGCTCATCCCATATCCCATTGTGGTGAAGTTCACCTCCCTGTGTACTTGTGCAGATCATACAAGGATTCCCTTGGTAAATGTGCATCAGTACACAAATGCTATCATTTGGTAGTAGGTAGGCACCTGCCACTATGACAGACACCTAAGAATACAGAAATGTGTCACTAGGAACTTGCACTTTGATAAGAGACAGTGGTACACCATATCATTATAACAAAAGCGATATAACACACTCTATCTGTAAGTGTTATTAAGCAAGCAGGAAGCACCAAGGGCCGACTCTGGATGGTACCTGGTGGTTGAGTGGAGTGCTGGTAGAATGTGGAGAGCAGAGGGAACAGTGTAAGCAAAGGCATGAGACCAGAGGAACACAGAGGGTATGAGGAATATGAGGAATGAGTGTATGATGCAGATTATTCTATCCACAGCCCTGTCTTCCCACAGAAGCAGCCTGGGCATTCATCTTCTTGCTCAAAATCCACTAATGGCTTCCCCGTACCATATTAAACTGCCTTGCAGGGCCCCATCAAATTGGAATTCAGTTCAGTTTTTCCATCTTTTCTATTAAAATATCCTCAGAAATATCTTGCACTTTACTCCATAGGCCATTATCCATAACCCATAACCCATATACATCTTGTACCCCTCTCATCTTCCACCCAGTGAAACCCTAGTCCTTTCCTGCCCTTATTTTTTCAGCATCCTCGCACCCTGACAGTGCTGATCCTGGTAGTACTCATGCAGTGAGACCCATCAACTGCTGGTGGTAGCTGGAATTTGCTTCAACATTTCTGAAGGGCAGTCTATCAAAGCCTTAAAATAGTCACATATTTGACCTAGTATTTCTACCTTTGGAAATATGTCCTTAAGAAATACTCAGAGATACTATCAAAGATGTTTCCATAAAAAAATTCAAAGCATTATCTATAACTGTAAGTAAATAAGAGCATAAAGTAAGTGCTAGTAAAAAAGAATTAGCAATAAAGGTAAAAAATTATAGTACAACTAGATGATAGACCAACAACAAGCCCTTTGTAAGAGACTATTCGGTGACATACAAATAATTATGATGACATATTTTTTTAAAAGTAGGTTTACAGTATTTCTGTTTTTGTTTTTTTTTTCTTGGTGGTACTGGCCTCACACTTGCTAGGCAGGCTCTCTACCACCTGAGCCACCCTGCCTGCCCTACAGTATCCCATTTTTATAAGAAAAAAATTCACATATTTGATGAGAAAGAAAAACAAGAGAAATACAGCAAAATATGAGGCGCGGTTAGCTCTGTGACAAGTATGGAGTACATTTTCTTTTAAATTATTTAAAAGAAACAAATAATGAAAGCATCTTACATTCACAATAAAGTGACATGTGATTTAAAAAGTATTTCCATGATCATTTGCTAATTTTATAGAAGGAAATGAGTATGCAAAAATGTTTCTATTGAAAATATTCAAGATATATGTATAAGACCCTGGATATGATCTCCAGCACTGCTTTAAAAAAAAAAAATCCTCAGTTTCTCAAACTGTGAAGGACTAGTTGTTTTTTCTCTAATCTGTTGTAAATGCATATTTTTGTAAAATACTATACAAGTATCTCAGCAATATCAAATTGCTAGGAAAGTTTCTCAAATTGCTTAATCTCAAGTCTTTGTACCCAGCATAGGTATGCAGTTACAGCAATGATGTACACTTCTCATGGGAATCAAGGCTTAGCTCATTAAAATATATCCGTTAATGTTTATAGCCCATGTGTGTTGTTAGGACAGAAAGCACATCCTACTCAGAAGCCAAGCCAGTGTTCTATATATCCTATGATCAGCAAACTGAAGAGCAATTGTTCAGGTC